GAACTAAAGAAGAGGTTCCCGTGGTATGTTTTGAGGTCAATGAGTGTATTAGTCTGTTTTCACGCTGCTGATAAAAACATACCTGAAAGATTATTAGGTTGAAATTAACACATGAGAAAATTATGGGGCCTTCTGAAGACCATAATAAACCTATATTCTAGTACATAAAATAATGACTAAAACATATACGTCAGATGTCTTTTTTCTCTCAGTTCCTGTGTATGTACATGATATCTATATTGCATATATTTTTAACATGTATTTACATGGATATAAAGCCCTGCACTCTTTCCGTGCCCTGAACTCCCACCCCATCCTTTCTCAATAAACCATGCATATATTATTAGTCAAAGTTCTCCAGGGAAACAGAATCAATAGGATGGAGAGATATATACCTATACCTATCTATCTATCTATCATCTATCTGTCTATATATTTGGATATGTAGGTATATGGATATATTTTTTATTATATCTATTATATATATACACACACACATATATATATGTGTATACACACGTTATAAAATAAGAAAATGACTCACATAATTATGGTGGCTGAAGTCTTACGATCTGCCATCTGCAAGCTGGAGACCCAGGAAAGCTGGTGATATCATTCAATTGGAGCATGAAGGCCTGAGAACCCGGGGGTTGGGTGATCAATGATGTAAATCTAAGTCTAAGGGCAGAAGACTGATGTTCAGCTCAAGCAGTCAAGCAGAAAGGAAAAAATTCTCCCTCCCTCTGCTTTTTGTCCCATTCATGCCCTCAGTAGGATGGATGATGCTCACCCACATTGGGGAGGGCAATCTGCTAAATCCACAGATTCAAATGCTAATCTCATTTGGAATAATTCTCACAGACACACCCAAAAACAATGTTCAGCCAAATGTCTGGCACTCCATAACCCAGTTAAATTGACACATAAAATTAACCATCACAATATACAAACACTTAAGCAACATAGACATTCCTGCCTTTGCATGAGAGAGACGAGGCAGGGTTTTACAGTGCACAGTCCACAGGAAACATCTTGCAGCCTCACTGACATGTTGGTCCTGCAAAGTCCCATAGGTCATATTGCCAATGGAGCTAGCAGTGGGAACATTTCTCTTTCACCTTTCAAAAATAAGTGGCATCAAGTCCCCTCCTTCTCTTACAGATTTCTCTACTTTTGTCCTCCAATTCATGCTACTCTACTAATACAAGTTGTCTTATCTTTATTCTGCAGAACACTTAAATAAGCCCATGCTGTTTTAAAAATATCTGAACTCCAGGCCAGGTGCTGTGGCTCACATCTGTAATCTCAGCACTTTGGGAGGCCGAGGTGGCAGATCTCCTGAGGTTAGGAGTTTGAGACCAGACTGACCAACATAGAGAAATCCTGTCTCTACTAAAAATACAAAATTAGCCAGGTGTGGTGGTGCATGCCTGTAATTTCAGCTACTTGGAAGGCTGAGGCAGGAGAATCGCTTGAACCTGGGAGGTGGATGTTGCCGTGAGCCAAGATTGTGCCATTGCATTCCAGCCTGGGCAACGAGAGCAAAACTCCAACCCCCCATGCCACCCCCACAAATTAAAAAACAATATGTGTGTGTGTATATATATATCTGAACTCCAATCCATCACCAGGCTCAGAAAAACTGAGAATCTCCTAGTTGATTTGATCTCAACTCCTTTAGAGGTTAATGTGACTATTAACAGGTTTTCCTGGATAAATATTAAAAGTACTATTATATAACACACAGTATATTATATTAACTTTGTAAAATTCGACAAATAATTTTGAATTTCTGACCCCAAGTGTTTTATCCAGGCAGGGCATGTAAACCTATAATCTAATCCTCTTGAGTAGGACCTTGAGACTGTCACCTGACTCCAAACAATTTCTCAAATAAATACATTAGTGTTCCTCAGAAAATTCTTATAAGTTAATCTTCCTTTTTCTTTCTCTTTCTTTCTTTCTTTTTCTTTCTTTCTTTTTTTTTTTTTTTTTTTTTTTGACGGAGTCTTGCTCTGTTCACAGGCTGGAGTGCAGTGGCATAATCTTGGCTCACTGCAACCTCCACCTCCCGGGTTTAAGCGATTCTCCTGCCTCAGTCTCCTGAGTAGGTGGGACTACAGACGCCTGCCACCATGCCCGGCTAATTTTTTGTATTTTAGTAGAGACAGGGTCTCATCATATTGGCCAGGATGGTCATGATCTCTTGACCTCATGATCTGCCCGCCTCGGCCTCCCAAATTGCTGGGATTACAGGTGTGAGCCACCATGCCCTCCCAAGTCTTCTGTTTCTTATATAACTTTACGTCTGGGTAATGCTACATCATTTAAAAATTGTCTTCACATATATTTTCTTGTATGAACCTTTCATGAAGCACACATATAACTATTCAAGATAATTGCGTTCTTTTCCACTTTATAGTTTAGCAGGGTGGTATTTGGAAATTTTGAACAAACAACTCAAGTGCAGCTGGAGAGTAAGTGAGAAAATTCACTAAAAGAGTGAATGGAAACTTTGAAGGCTTATGTATAATCATAATGTGCAAAACCTGGAATATCAGTTATATAGCTTAACTAATCCCCCAAAAAATCTTATTGACTTAAAAAAGCATCTCATGATTATCATGATTATTGTTAATTCTCTAATTCTTTCAGTTGATTGTGCAGTTCTTCTGCTGGTCTCACTGGGTTCATTGACGTGATTGTAGCCAGTAGGTAGCTCAGCTGGGGTAGGTTGTGCTAAGGGACCTCACTAAAGCCTCAGCTGAGATGGATAAAGCCGGGGCAGCTAGGATCCTCTCTCCATGTGTCACACCTCCTTGGCTTCTTCAGAGCATGGAAAACTTAGTAATTTCCCAGGCTAGCCTGGTAACCATATACCACATTCTGATAATATATTTCTAGTTTACAAGTGCATTCACAACTTTTTCTAATTTAATCGTCACAAGAAACCTGAGAGGTAGTAATGTTAGTAGTAGTATTTTCTCTGCTCTTACAGTTGAGGAACCACAACATCTGAAAAGCCAATGACTTACCAATCCAAATAGCTATTTGAATGCAGAGCTAGGATTTAAAATTAGACATTGTCAACAGAAAAATCCTGAAGAATAAGACATGCACACATGTGCCCATTCTCCAAAGAGTAGTTTCTAAATTCTGAAGTCCATTTATAAAATGATTGAATAAATAATGCTGATCATCTAAGTTATAACTTCATGTCTTATTAATATTTTTTCAATTTACAAGTATTGTAAAGTGACAAAACTAATTTTATTACTTAATATTTTATACATTAAGGAACACATTCTAAATACGACTTTTTCTTTTATTTAAATTACAGATACACTTTGGACTAAGTATAAAAGAAAAAAATTGATGGTTCATATATTAAGAATTCAAAACTAAATTTATCAAACTTTTCACTAAAATACTTCTCATGATTTTTCTCTCAAAATTGAGAAGCCAGTTTATAATCAGTTGTAATCTCACTTGAATTTCTTCCACTCTAGCTGTAAATCCCACTTTAAAGTAGAACTAACAAAAATGGCTGAAACCAGCAATTCAGAAGCAATTCAGCCTTAACAAAAAATGAAGCGTTGGACCTTAAGCCATTGCAGGTTCTTGCTCCATTCAATGAACACAATCCTCTCTCACCTTCTATTAGAGAACGAATATTAATAAAAGACCTTCATATGCATCTATATAAATATTACAAGCCATATTGTCTAGAGTTATACAAGCATGTAAATTCATACATACACAAAAATGCATGGACTTTTAAACATACAAAGGATGAGAATAGCTTCAGTTTTATCACTCATTACATCACACACAAAAGCAGTTACGGTATTAATATACACTATGTCAGTTTTTTTTTTTGGCATTTGTTACAAAAGATGTTAGCATTTGGTTCCCTCATAAGAGACTTCGTTATTTTTGTTGTTATTTTTTAAAAATCAGTTGTAATTTTTGGTGCTTTTATACTGGAAACTACAAATTCACTTTGGAAGGTACAAGATTGAACTACGTAATGATTATTGCAAAAATGTGGACTTACTTTCTGAGCAACTTATACATTTCTGTTTATTTATTCGTTATTGTTCCCTAACCTCAACAGCTAAGACATTAAGTCCACATTCTGAGGAAAGGTAGGTAACAACATTGAGGCTGCAGATTCAGTGCTGAACAGTCCCGTCTAAGAAATGTAACAGCAAGAAAAGCGTAGGAGTGATAGTCGAGAGTGGGTCTGAAAAAGTGGTTATTATGATAATGTGCTGCTAACCAATTGTGTGACTATAACTTAACAGTCACCCATTAAATTAACTTTTTGGGGTTCTTCTGTCCACACTTGTTAAAAAAGGGGTGGGGGAATAAAATCATGTTTTCAAAATTTCATACTAAAACATTTTAATATTTTTACAATCTGGATATTACTGCAGAACCCCACGTCCACAACTTCCCGTAAACTTTTATTATTGTGTAGTCCCTCCCTTTAGAGAACAAGTTATAAGCACTCAAAACCTTAGCTGCTTACTAATATTGTATCATTTAAAATAATCTAATTAACAATCGAATTGTTCTGTGAAAGTTCTAAATGAAAAGGGCCATTCTTAGCTCCCTTGGGAAATGTGCCTTAAAGGTATCAGGGTCTCTCTTGCTAATCTTCAGTTACTCGAACCCTTTCCTAGAATGTTTTAAAACCTTCTTTTAAAGAAAATAAATGAAACTACAAATCCCAAGAGCCAAAGCTGAAAACAGACATTTCCTCTCCTGCCCCTCCCGCCCCCTTTAAATCTAGGAGTCTAGAAAGCTAAAACTCAAGTTGAGGCATCCTGAAATATGCCTGAAAGAAACGTCGCCTGTTTCTTCCGTTTTTAGCCAAGGGTTCACTGGGCTCCTTTAAATCGGTGCTGAGAGCGAGGAAGGATCCGGAGCGACGCAGGATGGGGTGGGCGTGGGCCGCGGGCATCACCTGTTCCGAGAAGCGCCTGCGCACTGCGAGGGCGCGGGCGAGGAGGCGGTGCGCGGTGGGAGGGGCGGACGGCGCCCGGCTGCCACCGCTCAGATCTGCTTCTCCCCGGCTCCGGGCGCCGAGGCGGCGTCCAGGAGGCGTCTTCTGCAAAGGTTGCCTGGCGCTGTCCAACATGGAGGAGGCACCGGCAGCGGGCGTTACCTGCGAGCAGGACTAACTCCCTCCTGGCGTTCCGGGAGGCAGTGCCTGGTCCGGAGTGCGGGGACTCGACTGCCTGCACGCCCCGAGGCGGACCCCGGCTCTGACTGCTCCCCTGGCCGCGGGCTTCTCAACTAGGACGCGGCGCGAGGAGGGAGCGCGGCGGCCCCGAGTCTCCCTGAGCCATGGGCAACGAGGCGAGCTTGGAAGGGGAAGGGCTCCCGGAAGGGCTGGCGGCGGCCGCAGCAGCCGGAGGAGGGGCTAGCGGGGCGGGGAGCCCCTCGCACACCGCAATACCGGCCGGCATGGAAGCGGATTTGAGCCAGCTGAGCGAAGAGGAGAGGAGACAGATCGCCGCTGTCATGTCAAGGGCGCAGGGGCTGCCCAAGGGAAGCGTCCCCCCGGCCGCTGCGGAGTCGCCTTCCATGCACAGGCATGCACAGCATGATGTATATGTCCGGGCATATATGTACAGCTTCCCGTGCACATATGTGCCAGTCCGTATGTGCCAGCACGGCGGTACATATATGTCGCCTCCGTTCATTTTATTTTCCCCAATGGGGTGGTCATAAAGATATCCTAAGCCTTTTGATGGGCGGAATAAAAATGATGCATTGTAGAGTTTCTGGTGGGATAGTCAAGGGTTACATTCTTGGAACTGTGATTTTAGGTTGTGATTTTTGGCCTTTTGGAGCCCTTTCCCTCTAGGATGGCGTGGAGAGACGCCCTCCAGTGTTTTACTAATCTGGAAGTCTTCCATTAATACAACACGGACGTGTTGGGAAATAGATAGAGCTGGGTGTTTACCTGTCTCTGTGTAAACCTCTTGGCCATTGCGGGGTCTTTTTCTCTGTGAATGATGTCTAAATATTTCTGTAACAATACTTTAATCCCATTGTAGGTGATTTGTCCTCTCTCGCCACCCCACCCCCAGAGGAAAGCAGAAGCTGTTTAGGTAGAAGGAATATAATGAATATACCTTTTATATTAATTGAGGAACCCTAAAATATGTGTGGCATTAAACAGATGGTTTGGTCACAGCAGAGCAGGTGCTGTACATGTATTTCTAAATTAGCATATGCTATTTTAAGCCACTGCTCTTTTTTATGCAAAAGTGGCCTTCAGTTTAGGGAAGAACATGTGAATTTTATTACCTTAGAAAATAATTTTGAATACATACTTTTAAAAACAAAGCAAATAAATGGCAAGTATAAGAGCTAATCAGTAATATGAACGTATTCATTTCCGCCTGTAACTCTCCATTTTCCTTCATCCCAATAGATTAGTTGTTTTCTAATTAGAGTACTAAGAGGGTATAATCATTGTGCCTGCCTTGCCTTTCTTATGGTAAACAAACCCTTTAACTTTGCACCCTCTAGTAGAGAACAGTTTTCTGTCCGTGGTCCTGAAACAATTTCTCTTTTATGACAACTGAAGGGAAACCTACAATTTTCATTTGAGATATTGTAAGCACGAAAGACCTGGATATATAGGTGTATGTCCTTATCCTCTACTTTATAAAATGATTAAAAAAAAAACTTAGTCACTATCACGTAAGCATAATTTTGCCAAATCATAGGAGAAATGTAAAATGTTTTATGGGTAGTGACAGTATTTTCACATAAAATCTTAAATGCTTAAAATCTGCCAGGTAAAAAGCCTATTTATCTTGAAACCGCTAGTACTAGTGAAAACTAGCCCCTTTATGTTAAGTATGTTTTTCTGTATTTTTAAACTATGAAATCTATGGGGCTATTTCTTTGGAAAAAGTCTTTCTTGTTCTCTTATCCAGTTTATGATATGTATGTACTGTTTTCCTCTACTTGATGAAAACTTGACTAGGAAAAAATAATTAGCGTTCATTCACTAGACTTTCACAGGATAATAACAAGGTACAATACTTTTATTAGCCTTTTAGAACTGTATGCCCGATCTTTTATATTTTTTCCTAAGAGACACAAGCAACAGGTTTATCATGCTGGTTAACAATACCAGTTACAGTGAGATCTTTGATTTCTAGATTTCTAACTTTTCTTCTGTTCAGAGGGTGGCTGAGAAACATTATTTCCACCTATTAAACTGTTGCTTCATGCAGTATTTGTATCAGATAGTATACTTTTAAAGCTCTCTACTGATAATTTTGTTAGGGTGGAAATCTTATCAATAGGTAGTGTGTGGCCCAAACAGTTATTGGTGAAAACTTTATCCAAATACTAAAAAATAAACAATAATTTTCTTACTTTTGCAACTTGCTCTTAAATTTTACTGAAAGATTTCTATAAAATGTACATAACTTTTTAAAGTTGTTTTCCCTATGTATGATAACCAAAGCAACATTTGGTTTATCACTTAGACTTTTAAAGTTATAGAGTTGTGTAAATTTAATTAATATAGGAAGGCATACACAAATTAGTTGAAGCTTTAAGCATTTAAGTGGTGTGAATTGAACATAGAATCTTAAAAATAAAGACTGAGAGCATGAGTTTTTATTCTATTGACTTTAACCAACTCAGCAAATTACAAATACTTCTTAGTCAATGTGTCTCATGTTCCTTGCCTTTAAATAAGGCTAATAATGCCTATCTTACCTGTCTTAGAGAGTCCATTGAGGATCAATTAAAAGTTGACATGAATGTTTTTGTTTGAGTTGTAATTTACATGAACCCTACAAATATAAAGAGTGGTAATATCAATATCAACAGTGGATGACACTGTCACTGATGGCTACAGGCAAATTGTTGAATTGTACATTGTTTTTCGGTTATTGTGATATGTGAATTTTCTTTTGCATGTGGAAAAATCAGTTCAATGGAGTGTAAACCACCTCCTCCTCCCACAAACCAGGAGTGAGGATACCAGATTTCTGTGACTAACTAGTTTTATGACCTTGAATTAGTCACTTAGCTTCTCTTAGTCCTTATATCCTGGCACTTAGAGCATAAATGCATAGATATTCATTTATATAATATATATAAATTAACAGATAGTCCCAAAGTTGCTTATATTTCTAATTTATAAAATTTTGTGTGACTCAGCACTGTCAAGTGTCACTGCTTGTTGTGTTCCATTTATAAAAGATTTTATTACCTCAGATACTTTTACATTCCTACATTTGCATATATGTTTTCCTCATCTTAGGGGAAATATTTTGTTTTCTGCTGATAATTTGAAAGAAAAATTCTAAGGATGACAATAGTAAAATGAAAAGGGAGACAGTACTAAATACAGGTAGTTACAAGCTAGCAGTAGATGACAGGTTACAAATGAAATGCTCGTGGATTTTTTATTCATTTTATACCCAGAGAAGTGCACTTTCATTACTTTTTCTACTCATTCTATTTACAGTTCCAGATATATCATACGAGAAGGGCTTTATTGAAAAAACTTCTCTGATTAGTAGAATATTTAATAAGAATTCTAACTGAACTGATTATTTTCTTTACTACTTTCAGCCTCCTCTACTGGGCTTCTTCCTAAAGGTGTAGGCCAAATCCAGGTTCTAAAAAGAATATGGAATTTATCCATTTATATCTCAGAAGGCCTGTAGAAGAATTTTTAAGTGAAAGCAATTCAAGAAACATTAAAGTAAAACAAATACATGATATATTTATTCCTTGGTTCACTCATTGGTAATCACCCACTTATTCATTAATTCATCAAATATTAATGCTCATCTACTAGTTGCCAGGCTTGATTCTAATGATGCAAAGATAAGTGAAATATATCTTTTCTCTCTAGGAGTTCACAGTCTAGTATATAAGGCAGAGATTGCATTTTAATCACTTTTTCTTTGACAGTAAAACTGTTACGCCTAACAAAATTTCACCAAAAGACAATAGCACCTTTACATTTTTGTTTGGTATTGACAATTTTTTCTCTTGATTTTGTTTCCATTTCCCACTCAAAGATCTCTGTGTTTTACTCTTATTTACATAGTTACAGCAACTAAAACTAAGTTTAAATTATAGGACAGTCTTTAGGGTTGTATGCCTGTTTTCTAATGGGGATTCTATAGTAAAGTACAACTTATACTTGTGGGAAGTACATGCAATTATAATCCCTGGTGCAAGCAGCTTGCTTTCAATTCTGCTATTTCTGATCATCACAAATATTTGGCATTCATGAAGTTTATTTTTTGGTGTTTTGCAGACATGATGGATTAAGTGAAATATCAAAACAATGATTAAAATAAGTTTAGTAGTATTTTCAAGAGATAAAAATTTAGCATAATTAAGGATAGATTTCTTTTTTTTTGGTACTCTGCTTAAAGTTAGATTTAGAGGACTCTGTACAGGGAAGTTATTTAAACAAAATGCTTAATAATTACTCATAGGATTGCCATACCTGTAATCAGCCCTAAGCATGTGCTCTTCAAGGGAATGGTACAATATATTAAGTAAATATAGAAGATTTATAGAATAATGTCAAGGTCTGAATAGTGTAGCTATAAAGAAATGTTCGGAATGATTTTCTCCAAATGGAAATATGTAGCAGTGCATTTTAGAGCTACCTTGGAACTATTGGAATTAACTAGGGTAACACTTTTAGTTCTGTTTAAGTAAAGACTACAGAGACATGGTAGAATATATGTATTTTTGTAAACTTTTCCTTGGAGGAAATTGCAAAAATTCAGAATCTACTTATTTGTTTTTTACCAGAAAATCCCTTTATGCATACATCGCCATTTATAGATTATTTTCTTTTCTTCTAGGTGTTTGCTACCTAGAATTAATGCTTCTCTGCTTCTTTCTGCTATCCCTTACATCCTGACCTGTGTTCAAATTTCTATGTCAGGAAATTTGGAAAAAGTTAATTGATAAGAAGTATTGATTATGAAATAAAATATTTGTAATATGTCTCATTAGCAGGTAAATTTTGTTAAACCAAATTAACTTATAAATCTCTATTCTCATATTATATTTTAGGTGCTACTAAGTTACTTTCTTTATTCTTGTTTCCTTTAATGAAAAAGAAACTTATATTTTTCAAAATTTAAAAAGCCTCATATATCAAACAAAAGACTTATAATCTGATTTTCTCCATAATTCTAATTTAGAATATTCTTTTAGCTGCAACTTTATCAATGAAATATGAATTATTTTAAAAGTTTCTGTATTTAATATGACTTTTGGCTAAAACAATAGATATATACAAAGTAAGAAACTCCTATTTTAATTATTTAACCATAGTCATTTAAAATGTATCATGTTTCCAAGGCTGTTTTAAAAAACACATCTTATATATTTGTCTATGAATTAAGCTATATCTTGAAAATTAATTACTTGCTACATTTAATCTCAATGTCAATAATAAATTAGATTACTAATAATCGATCAATGGCATTAGGAGATGATGTAACAAACACTGAGTAAAGAGATATATGGATACCAAGATATATCTCAAGACGATTTAAGCATCTATTGTTGCTTCCCATAAAAATTTCGGGTTAAGAATTAGTTATTTTTTCAAAAAGATAACACTGATCTTGAGAATCAAGATGGGATTGTTCCTCAAGAATGTCTAAATCATGAATGTAGAAATTCTTATTCTGTAAAGTTTTTTAAGGATAATAGTTGATGAATAGTGCCTTTCTAGGTGGTGGCATGGGGATAATCCCCAGTCACTCTCTGGGGCTCTCAGGATTTTAGGTACCCACATCTGTGTCCCAGTCTCTCCTGGCCAGTGATCTGGATCCCTAGAAGCCCAAGTAAAATTAAATAGATTATAAACTTTTTAGCATTCCTGGGAAAACATCATGTAAACTCCATTATCAGAAACTCCCCTTATTTCACATTGTATTCCCTATTTAGCTCATGTAAATTCTCAAAATGAAGTTTTAAAAAAGTCTCAGCAGACTCCTACATTTAAAAATGAATATTTTTAATTCTCAATGCTGCTGGCATTTGGAAGACTTTCTTTGATCATAACTTTTGATAAAAAGAAAAAATACACTCTGTGAACATGTATGTCTTATAATATGACATTGCATTGATTTATTGAGGTTTTAATTTAAACCTATATTTAGTTAAGTTTTAAGGTCAGATTCTATTAAGTGCAAAGATAAATTACTTTTATTATAAGTATTTTCTAATTATATATTTTAATTTTTATCAATCATAAGAGCAATTTTTTTTTCTTTTCTTTACCTCCTTGTTGAAAATCTGTACCCATTAAAAGAAAGAAAAAAAAAGTATTAAAAGTTTTATGAACACTTAAAGGATGCTACAAAAATGGGTCTTAGTAATATTTATACATTCATAATTTTGAAGACATAAGCAATAGCTTTTTCATATTACTTTGATTTGAAATAATTTCCATTATTTTCACTTTTTTTTTTTTTTTTTTTTAACTCTTCTAGGAAACAAGAGTTGGATAGTAGTCATTCTCCAAAGCAATCAGGAAGACCCCCGGACCCTGGGCGTCCAGCTCAACCTGGTCTCAGTAAAAGTAGAACTACAGACACTTTCAGGTCAGAGCAGAAATTGCCTGGGAGGAGCCCTTCCACTATTAGCTTGAAAGAATCAAAGTCCAGAACTGATTTTAAGGAAGAACACAAATCTAGTATGATGCCTGGCTTCCTCTCAGAGGTTAACCCTTTAAGTGCTGTCTCCTCTGTTGTAAATAAATTCAACCCTTTTGATTTGATATCAGACTCTGAGGCATCCCAGGAAGAAACCACCAAGAAACAAAAAGTGGTTCCGAAGGAGCAAGAAAAACCTGAGGGAATCACAAAACCTCCGTCACAGCCACAGCCACCCAAGCCGGTTCCTAAGCAGCAAGGACCTGGTAGGGATCCACTTCAGCAGGATGGCCCTCCCAAATCAATATCTTCTCAGCAACCAGAAAAAATTAAATCACAACCTCCAGGTACAGGAAAGCCAATTCAGGGTCCTGCCCAGACTCCTCAGACAGACCATGCAAAATTGCCACTTCCACGAGATGCATCCAGGCCTCAGACTAAACAGGCAGACATAGTAAAGGGAGAATCAGTTAAACCCTCTCTGCAAAGCCCATCCAAACCACCTATTCAGCAACCAACTCCTGGAAAACCTCCAGCACAGCAGCCTGGACCTGAAAAATCACAGCCTGGGCCTGCAAAGCCCCCAGCTCAGCCCCCAGGGCTAACAAAGCCACTGGCTCAACAACCAGGGACAGTGAAACCCCCAGTCCAGCCACCAGGGACAGCAAAGCCTCCAGCTCAGCCTCTTGGTCCTGCTAAGTCTCCAGCTCAGCAGACTGGGTCAGAAAAGCCTTCATTGGAGCAGCCTGGGCCAAAAACTCTAGCTCAGCCTCCTGGAGTTGGGAAGACTCCAGCTCAACAGCCAGGGCCAGCAAAGCCTCCAACCCAGCAGGTGGGGACACCAAAACCCCTAGCTCAACAATCTGGGCTACAGTCTCCAGCTAAGGCACCTGGGCCTACAAAGACTCCAGCTCAGCAGGCTGGGCCAGGAAAGATTCCAGCTCAACAGGCAGGACCCGCAAAGCCTTCTGCCCAGCAGACTGGCCCAACAAGGCTTCCTTCACAACTGCCTGGTCCAGCAAAGTCCCCATCTCAACAGCCTAGCTCAGCAAAGCCCCCACCCCAACAGCCTGGCTCAGCAAAGCCCCCACCCCAACAGCCTGGCTCAGCAAAGCCCCCATCACAACAGCCTGGCTCAGCAAAACCCTCAGCTCAACAGCCTAGCCCAGCAAAGCCCTTGGCTCAGCAATCTACAAAACCAGTAAGCCAAACAGGATCAGGAAAACCTCTGCAGCCACCAACAATGTCTCCATCTGCAAAACAGCCTCTTTCACAAGGCCTCCCTAAAACCATCTGTCCTCTTTGCAATACCACTGAACTTCTGTTGCATGTTCCAGAAAAGGCCAATTTTAACACATGCACTGAGTGTCAAACCACTGTCTGTAGCCTCTGTGGTTTTAATCCCAATCCTCATTTAGTGGAGGTAAGTGCATTTATTCACTGAGTCCATACTCTTCAGCCATATCATTGTCTTACACAAATGATGCTTAACTAAACACATACATGACATGATGGCGTTGTCTTTCTCTGGATTCTCCCCTCCTTCCTTTGTTTTATTCTCTGTCAGTTGTAATTTTTTTTTTTAATATTTCTCTAACTGGAAGCCTCAAACATTGCCACAATTTCTGAAAATTTGGCATATAAGACAAATATAAATTGATTGAAAGATGATGAGCACCTACTCATTTCACTCTATATGTAAGACCAACACTGTTATTTAGCATACAGTGACATTGCTTTGACTTTTACATTGGTCTTCCTACCTATCAAAATTTTGGTACTCATAAATGTTATTTATATTTGTGTTAGAAAGAAAAGTAGATAATGTTTTCAAATTCTGAATACAATTTTAACTTAAAATTGAATATCCTTTTTAATCTGCACATCCCTTTTCCCTGCCACTAATTCTGATATATCAAATGAGGGCATGTTGAGAGTCTTTAATAACAGTATTAAATCATTTCACAAAAGGAAGAAGTTGTTAGAGCAGATTCAGAATGTATGGGTGACTTCTCAGATTACAGTTTATATCTCCTAGGCTTGAATCTGGGTAGCCTTATGTTTCCAAGGGTTAACTGGGTAATACTTTCTGACTCAACAAATTATAAAAGGGTTAATTGTGATACAGATGAGTACAAGTTTGTTTATTCAGATTGAGGATAGAAGAGTAGTTCTCAGCAAGTCAACTGACTGTATTAATATTAGTTCAGCATGAAAAGGCCTGGAATAATGTAGCATTTTAATAGGTAGAGATTCAGAGTTCTTTTTAGGAGAAGGGACAAGAAGACACAAAGCATTTTTAAAAACTCAGAAATTCTCTGGCATTAAGGAATAAAACAGTGAAGATGGTATAAAGAAATGGGCAGTGAGGTTGGAGATAGGTTAGAGTCAGACTTTGGCTTTTCACATTTAGTAGGTAATGATGAGCATATAAATAGAGAAGAGGTTTAAGATCTAAGAGAATATGAGAGATTCATTTTTTAAAGAGATCTAATAGCCTCTGCTTAATGAGAAGACACAGAAATCATTTAGCCTGTCTGGAGGACAACTGTTAGTGGACTATCTGTGCATTACATCTGCAAGCACCCCAGGAAGTAACTGATAGCAGGCAATGAAGGATTATGTGATTTAAATATCCCTGAGACGTGAAGCTTGTATACTTTTGTTATAAATGAAATATATCATGATAATAACAATAATGATCATTGCTAATTTATGTTAATGTGATACTTATGAAAAAATGATGCAGGTTTAAAATATATCAACTTTTGGGTTTTCTAAAGTAACTTACTTTTTAAAAGAAAAGTAGTATTGAGTAATTTAACTTTTCAAATAAATAATCATTTATAAAACTACAATTAATAAGAATATGCTGCATTTGATTTTATGGAGAAAATCAGAATATAAGTATTTTATATATATACATATATATACACAAATGTTTTTATATATACATATATGTAGCTTTTTAAGTTTTGGTGAAATATGCTTCTCCCCATATTATACTCTCCTTATAGGAATGTGAAGTAATAATGACTTCAAATGATAGATGATCATTTTATAGTGTTTGGATTTGTCTTGGTTTTGTGGCAATTTACAAGGCAGAAATATGCAGCTAGAAATTTAAGCTGTATATGCTGTTTCTACACCCAATATAAGAAAGACAGATATTATTTGAATACCTACTATGTGAAAGATATTCTGTTATATGTTTGGTGGGATATAAAGATAACTAAAACATGAATATTGATCTTAACAGATTAAAAATTACTAGATAATACATGCACAAGAAAATAGAATATGTGACCAGATGATAAGAGCTGTGAGAGATATGAATAAATATTATGGACTTCAGAGTAGAAAGTGCTCATTTCCAGGGGATGAGATTAAGGAAAACTTCATGGGGAAAATGGCATTTGAGCTGGGCATATAAAGATGGGCACTATTTCAATAGATATAGGACATGAAACAGTGTAATAATTTGGGCCCAAAGTTGGAACTCCAAAAGTACAGAGTGTATTTTAGGGAGTCAAGAATAAATGTAGGTTAGCTAGGGTGATGGAAAAGAAATGGGCAGTGAGATTGGAAATAGGTTGAAGTCAGATTTTAGCCTTACACGTTTAGCAGGTAGTGATGAGCTTCCTACTTTTTGAAAGGTACCTCAATTAATATGATATACATTTGATAGTTGATTGTACTAATTTGTATCAAATGCCTCGTTACAAAGCATTATTGAATGCTATGGGAGAATCAAATATTTGTTAGATGTGCAGTCTTCTCTCAACCATACATAGGGGAAATACAACTTGCACATAAAAAGAACATCTATATATTTATTGCCATACAAAGTAACTTTGAATAGGGCTTTCTAGTTCACAGAGTCCTTTGTTTTATTAAAATTAAACTCATAATTTTATGGACATATATGTTTCTTCTCTATTATACCAATGAGGAAGCTGGCATTCAAATAGTTACTATAGTTAGTTTAGTTGTGAGGATCACCCAGATAGTATATTCCCAAACAGAAGTCAATCATTCTGATTCCAAATCAGTTTACTTATGGTAGGAAGAGAGATGAAGTGTTATAGTGTCAAAGGAAGAAACCATCACCATCAGTGGGGATATTAGAGCTATCTTCATGAAAGGTGAAGTATGTGAGCTGGGAATATGAAAGATAAGAATTTGAACACACATAAATGAGCATGGAAGAAGCTGGGAATATAAGGGCAGGTAGAGGGACTCACTAGCTATGTAAAGGCAGGCATTTCCTTATTGACTGAATAAACTTGGACAAGCCATTTACACTTTCTGTTACAGTGGCACCATTTGACATATGAAAATAATAACATGCTCTCTGCTACACACACTGGAAGATTAACTGAAAATTTGCATGAGAAAGTATTTTAGATACGTGAAGTTCTTTTAAAGTTGCAATATATTGCAATAGATAATCTTAATATTTGAAACAAATTTGGCCTTTACATTTATTGTACATTCTTTTTTACATAGATAACAATATTATAAATTCTTAGATGCTGAGGCAGCCATCTAAAGACTTTGGATCAATAGTATTAGTGATATCATTTCGTTTTAACGTTCATTGATTTTTTTTCCTTTAAGAAAAAATGCAATCAAAAGTTCCAATTCTGAACTCTAGAAAGGCGTCTTTTCTAATACTGCCTACCAAATGGCCAGTTTCTCAAAATCCTAAATTATATGGCGGTCAGAATTGAGAAGTTAGAGCTCTAGAGAGAGACTCTAAACTTCTGTTATAGGAGATAAGGTAGGTGAAATTTTGGGGACAACCACCACTTATGTTGTGGTGTAAACACTGTAACTTTCATATGTATCCATGAAAAAGTAAATCTTCATCTTCCAAAGAGGATGTAACACTCTAGGTAAAGTTGCCCTCAAATATTCAGATTGAGTAAACCGTTTTTCTATGCAAGATAGAGACAGAAGCTGGACATCCTTTGGTACAATTACATGAATTTATTATTTTCCAACTTGATGTTTACATGCACATAGCTCTTCGCTTGCGTGATGTATGGGTGAAATAGATACATTTACCATTCCTTGAAAAAGGAAGAATTTCTCCAACATTTTTTGTTACCAGTCTATCAGAATTATGACTCTGTTTGCTTGTGACCATCATGGCTCTCTAATGACTACCAGGTCTGGGAATGAAGGAAGGACTGGATAATTAGCTACACTCAACCACAAGCTTTAGGGAAGGGGATGTGTTTACTCCCTTAGTTCCGAACTTACCAATCATCACCCCCCGACCCGCCCCTGCCACACATGAGCACTTTAGGCAACCCAAACATCTATGTGAAGAGGATTGCCTTTAAATTAACTGCCCTCTGGAGGCTATCAAGATGTATGCTATTCCAGACAAGCCTTAGGAATCCACTGGCTCCAAGCCTAGACCTTTGATGCCTAGACCATGACCAGTGGAGTGTATAGCCGCATCTCTTCTTGTGGGCCCATTAATTGAATAAATCTCTCTAATATTTTCCCTCTCTTTGGGCTTGCATGTTGACACAGAACCTGAACATTTGCTTTCTAATTGGAGGCAGAAGTATGTTGTTTTTGTTGGTTTACTTTATCTCTTTTGATAAATAGCCTTACTCAAGATATATTTAGGAACAGAGATCTAAAGGCCTGTCTCTAATGTTTGGTAAATTTCCCAACTCTTATTAATTTTTGTAATAAGTGAAAATGACTTGTCACTTTTCAGAATGTTGAAAATAAACCAAATGTTAGGGATTAAAATGGATTTAAGCAAAGTTTTCTTGACATTTTTTTTTTTTTTTTAGTTACTATGGCAAATATATGAGTCAGTTTTTTTTGCAGAAGCCAGATACTTTGTCTAACAAATCCATAGCCACCTTTAATGAGCTAAAACAAACAAACAAAAAACTCCTTGACTTGCATATATCAACTTTCATATGAACTTTCTCCACTTAATGAAAAACAAAACAAAACAAAAAATGACCGAAATTCTTTAGTTGGGTAAAATGGCTTAACCGGCCATGACCTTTCGGTGGATAATCCTGTTGCATCTTATTTTTCTAGTAAGAGAAATGGAGAGAAGTTGTTCGGAAGAGCTGGTAGAAAATAGTGGAGCTATGCCAAATGTCAGGAGGCTGGAATCTGTGGAGAGAAAAAGCCTGTAAGACATTCCTGATGGTGAAGTAACTGAAAGAACTTTTAGAAAAGAGGATGTTCTCTTTTTAGTTGCTTGCTGTTTTTAGCACAAAGACTTTTTTTTTTTACCTGAAATTCTAAGCAAAAACTGCCACACAGTTCCTCTTAAAAAGGAGGACTGAGCACACACATGCTCATGTCCTCTATCTTCAAATCCCACTTTTAAAAAGATTTAAAGTGTAGTCATTCCAAGAAATGTGAAAGAGCTCCAAA